ACCGTATCATCCCACAGGAGAAGAGAAAGAGAACTTCCCAACGTCGGTGTCAGTGTTATATGACCCGCGTATTTCAAAGCCGAGTCGTGTTCTCGCAATTTTATTTGTTCGTCGGGTAAAATGCTTTTGCTTATACTCGTATCAGTGTATTGAACTTAGCACGCTTAGTTCCAGCCAGGGCTGACAGAGAGATTATGACGATTATAATAAATAACAATATTCTATAAAACGGTCTAACAGGTTTGCCCTCTATCTTGATTGGGTGAAAATACAGCAGAATCATTATAAATAATGTAATCAAAAATGCAGATACAATCAATAGTCGATAGCCCTGAGCGAGACGCGATAAATGAGAACGGTACGGTACAGAACATGTTGTTAGCCACAGGCAGACAGCCCTAACGCTTACATTCTTGGGCCCGCATCTTACGCACAATCAAATGTTTAGCACGGGCCCGATAAAGAATGCTCAAATTATTTCGGTGTCAAGATCATTTTTTAAGACTTATATTTTATATCGTGATAATATATTGGCGGTATTATTAAATATGTTAAATGTACTTAATGAATATTTATCATAAATAATAATGTAATAATTTAATTTACCCTTAAATCCGAACTCCCGGAAGACGTAGAGGTACTGCTTCCTATTCTATTGTGATACATGCTCAATAAAAACTCCAACAGTTCGTATGTTCACTTTTACTACTCTAATACGTAAGTTTTTGTTATTCACTTCATTTCACACACCTGTAGACAAGTCAACGTTGTTTAGCATCATCTACAACTTAACACGACTTTCTTTCGCAATTAGGAAAGAAGATTACGGAAAAATTTACTGAAAAAATATTTATCATTAAGTATGGAAACAATTTAAACTCCTTTATTATTTCATAATACACCTGTAAGTTGTTAAATGGTATACGTGACTCAAGGAGTTGGTTTATCGTTGTAACCGAAACATAACACACTTATCGCGCACAATCGTCATTTGTGATTATAAATATATCGATTGTATTTTACTTGATAATATATCAGAATCACCTTGAAAGCGGACCATATGTACCTATTTGCATATATTTACATAAGAGAAGTGTTAAAACGGGCTAACAAGACGAAGGAATTATTTATTAGTAATGCCACTACCATCGCATTTTATTTACTTAATTAACCTTAGCTGCGTTCATTTATTTAAGTTTATTATTCAATATTTTTTTATTATAGATGATGTTATTCCTTCATACATTATGTACAAGGTATCTGTTTCAAAGTATTTATTTAGAATTTTTAACAGTCTCTAACAAATTCAATTCATTGACTCCAGGTAGCACAAAAAAAGACGACCAAAACACTGTTTTTTTTTCTTCATTAAATAATCCTATGCGACTCAAGTTACTTTATACACAAAAACATAAAAAAAAAAACTCTGTCAAGTTTCAAGATAAATTTAAATAGTCACCAAGCTGCTGAAATTTATGTTCCTCGTCAGTTCCTTGGAATATTTTATGTAATATATTATATATTATACCATAACTGTGACGCACAGAAAACAGTTTTATTTATAGAACTCCTCAAGTTGTATTAGGATTTATTTCTTAAATGTATTGTATTCGCGAGGTAGAGCGGTGGATATTTCGCGTGCGCGTGGACCGATTGGCGCGCTCGATGCCACTGGTGGATTCGCAAGACTGGCCTAAACACGCGAGCGAGCATTGCACCTGACACAGCGTCACTCGGCCTCCCGGCCTCCCGGCCTCCCGGCCTCCTGGGGCTCACCATCACTCACTTATCCAAGGTACATCTAAAGGATGATATATCCATGGTATGCTATCCTTTAGATACTACTTTTGCTTTTGACTATATCTTATATAAACATACAACATATATTTTATATAACTCTTATGAGTATTTGCAAACATTGAAAAAAAAAAGTTATATCTGATTATTATTTGTGCATAATACTTTCAAGCCTCCGATAGTAGTATAATCCGACAAAAAATCAGTATACATTCATATCAAAGAGAACCTTGATATCCTCTCTTAAAATGATTTGTGATATCGTGTTAGAACACGCACAATCCCGCCCTGAAATTGATTGATGGCCTTCATTTGGAAATTCAAGCGAGTTTTCAAACTACAAAAAATCCCACCTAAAGTTTTATAGAATGGACCTCGCTTGTATTGATCGTAACAGCTTTGAGCTGAAATAATCTTGTATAAAGAAACAACGTAGAATATTGAATTTTCCCCCGGGACGAGAAACATGGAGTGGATAGGAAAACTAATTTAACGTACAGAATTTTCTTAAAGCTTTTCAACAAGATTTTATAGCCAGTCAATTACTTAGAGGCTAATAAAACTCACTATTACATTCCTTACTATGATTAATGTTTGAATTAATTAAAAACTGCATTAGTATTCTGTCATTTTTGGACTTTTTACTCCTAATATTTACAGATTATAAGCTATTGGACACTTTTCATACATTGATCGCGTAAATTAATGCAAAATAATATCCAAATTCTATTAAACTTTCTATTTTATTATCTGATTTTGTTTGTATTTCATTGAAACGTTTTACCAAAATAGCTTCCGGCAATTAAATTCTGAGAAAGTTAAAGATCACTCTGTGAATGTCGTTAATTAATTTCTAATATTATTGAACTTTATAGAAAACTATGTTATATGTGACTTAAGGATATAAAATATGTACACATAAATTTTTATCTTATCAAATATTTTATCTTTGTCGTTAATCAAAGTCGGATCTGACGGTGGAATCGAAAGAATCTTCATCACAATTCTTTACTCATTGATTTATTATCCACCCTTACTAATATATTATATAACAAATATTATGTAACTTTGTCTATAGTCAAGATTTCACGCCAAAAACAAACAAATCAATCGATTTATTATTTTTTTTACATGTCATAATCTAGAACTAGAGGAAGGACGTGGGCAACTTTTATGACAGAAAATATTTTAAGGGAATAAATTGGTAGTTGAAATTTTGTATGGCAATATATTTCAGGTCTAATTCGAAGGTAAACTAAAGAAGAAAACAAGAGATTAATGGAATGTAATGTCAATAGTTCTAGCTCTATATTCGCCATAATTCTTTGATAGTAGAATAGATTAGAAATTAATGAGAATAATTCTTTATTTTTTAATTATAGAGTCCTTATAATTGAAGTTCATTGCCTCTTAAACATTGATAAATCGTAATTCGATGGACTTATCCGTCTGTCAGAGGCCTGCGGTTCTACATCCAAGTAACATCGTCAGTTTAAGCAAGTGATTGATCATCAGATATACCTGACTGTGGTCAGTGTGTGCTAGTGCGGACTTACATTTACATAAAACAGACCTTTTCATGTTTCTTCATTCATAAATCAAATGTAAAAAAATCGTAAACATTCCATTTTTTCTTTGCGATATACTACTAGACAGATTGTGTAGTCAATTTGATAAAATTCGATAAATAAGCTAGTGATGCGGTTTTACCTATTGTTAAACGCCTTGTTCTAACATGGGTTTTTACTATAAAAAGGTCAAGATACTTGTAATTTTTTTATAAAACTTATGACCTTTTTATCATGTTATTTATATTAAATCATTAAAGATTACTCATCGGGAATGTTCGTCGACCGATAATACTTTTATTATATTTTTCTATGCACTATTTTTGTTGAAACTGTTCCGTTAAATCAAAGTAAAAAATTCGTTCAAGTTTATCTAAACTTGAAATCTGTATAAAAAATGTTTACCTATAAAAACATGAATTCAAGCTTTCAATACTATTTCTAAAGAGATTTATGTATTTTGCTTAATTTATATCAATTTTAAAGAATTTTGCTGTCCTAATAAATCAAACTAAAATTTACAAATTGCTGATTTAGTAAATTTAACTATATTTTCGTCTCGATTTTCCTTTTATACAAGATATTGTTTGTCGAACAAAACAGGGTCACATAATTAGGTAGCTATTGTTAAATCTTTGTTAAAGATGTCAAAACGGTCTTACAAATTCCAAACAAGCGTAGCATATCTGACAGCGACAACCACTTTGTATTCTTGTAACGTAAATTAAGAGAGAAAAGTTACAAAGTTCGGTAAAACTTCTAGCGGCACCGTCTGTTCTATGTACTGAAACAATTTCGCTCCACCGCTTTCTGATTTTAGAATAACTTCAACTATATAATTTGCAAGTGTTATTAAGCAACACAACTCTAGTTAATTGGTAGCCCATCTCATTATAATGTCGGCAATGAATATTTAAATGTCACCACATTACATGTTGAATAATATATCCAATTTAGAAGTGTTTGCTGAACAATGGAAGCGTGACAGGCTACAGGCGAATGATTGCCATCTTAGCTTCTGGCTAAACGTGGACCACAGTCATTTCCGTTATCCATGAATACTATGAATAATTTAATAAAATATTCATAGTAAGTGTACTATTACATAGCATTTGTTACTACCTTTGTAATGCAAGTACTGTTACTTATTACATCACATAATATTTTACTCCTGCATCCAAGCTCCAGAAGCTTTGTCTCGAGAAGGTTTTAATTTATTCGCTCATATAATAAGAATGTCTATTTTTTATTATATTATTATAATTAAAATTAATATTCTTAATAAAAAGTAATCACTTACAAGACTTTAGACTTGAAGTTATAAATAAAAATCTTTTTGAATACTGACTAAAATCATTTTTTTGATTATTTGTTCTATTCCAAAAATAGCTACCTATATATTATTCATTTTATTTTACAGGCAAAATATAAAACGATCTTAACGCCATCTAGTAAGTCTTTATCAAATAAGTTTGACGTACCTTGACAGTTGTTGCGCAAGCGTTCGTTTAAAATTTATTGTCATTTCAAATTACCTCGGTAACTTTTACATAGAGGGCGTTACTTGATTATTTGTATTATCAGTCATTGTTGTTTTGAAAGAGTGTAAGTACAAAGGATGAACAAAATTGTTACCTTGCTTTCGCAGCCGTTGTGACACACATATTTGCAAACTGAAACAAAAAAAAGTGGAATAAAATATTGAAGTAAAGAAACGTACTTAAGAACATAAACATAAAAAATAAACTCTATTCATTATATTTGACCCACAAAGAGTTTTATTGGCTATAGGCCGAAGCAATATATTATCAATTCTATAAGATATGGCAACATATATCTTCCAAACGAATAGTCATATCATTAATTATTTCCCTATTATTGTTTTCAACCAAAATAAATTTGATAAAATTATTCTTGTAGTCATAGAAACGTGTAGTTATGTAAATAACATGAACACTTAATATCCGCTGAGAACTCTAGAACACCTAATCCACCAGGCAATGACCTTTAAATGTCATCTTATGAAATTAGCGAATATTATATTGTCTATGACATGTGTCGTTGAATATGCTAAAGTTGTTATGTTACCTTGATATTTATATGGACATGAAATTTTAGACAGAGCAATATAGTGTATAGATAATATTGATTAAATATTCATATACAATATTAATTTATAATAGGTTGACTAAAAATAGATTATATAGTATAGACTTTAGATAATATGTTACCTCGGCAGCAGCTTCCCTGGTTGTGTACTGGCTGGTGACACCAATGACATGGTCTTGGCTTCTTAAAAACTTTATTACGGAACGCATGCGCCTGAGCCAATCCCTCCTTCTGCAAAAAAAAATATACCTCTAGAGCAAATACAATAACAATGGTAAATAGCAAAGTAAACTTCATGAATGGCTGAGTGTTATAAAGTTTTGTTAAAATGATGGCATGCGGTCGTTTGGGAACCGACCACCGGTCATCTCACCCTTACCTGCCTTATCCCTTACTCCAATTATAAAAGCAGGCAGTGGGAGGCCATCGAGCCCTTTTATTCTAACGAATCCCCGAATTCAACGTTCTATCTAAGAGTAATGTACCAACGTTAGTTATTTCACATCACAAATATTGAACGCTTGTCAGTCTAGCATGAGATATGCTCACAAAACGAGTAGCATTTGCATTCAATAGTTTCAATAAGACAAGTCTCGTATGATCTTTATCTTGTTAAAGCCCTGACATGTTTTACACTCGTTAGCAAATTGTAACTGACAACTGTAAATCAGATCTCGTTACGATACTAGTTTATGTGAAAGGAAATAAATTATTACATCGATTTTCATTCTTAAATCGTCGCTCGGTGTTGAGGAAAGTTACGCCGCGGTGCAGGCTTCTTGAATCAGGGCTTCCAGAACTTTTATGTACCTAATTATAGTACAATGACGTCATAGGTCTGTGGCTGTACGAGCGCCGGCGCCGATAATGGCGCCATTTGCACACCAGATGATACGCAATATTGATTGTGAGTTGAACATTCCTCATTTGAAGTTATATATAATATGACTAATAAAAAACCCATCGCCCTATTCTAAAACTGATTTACTGTAATAAATAACAAAGAGCTGAATCAATTTCATTGAATATGGATTGATGAAGATGATAATCTTTACACTAAATATAGTATTCGGTATCTGGAATGGATATAATAATAACTAAATCCGTGGCAGCGTGGTGTTCGCACGTGTTTGTAACCACCTGCCTTTGAGCCAGAAGGCCTGTAACTGCCGCCCGTGCCACGAGCAAAAAATCTCTCTCAACAGTAGCTATAGAGACACATTGAGATGTAACTCTGCAGCCGCCCCATCAGTCAAGTGAATCAAATTTCACTGAACAGCTGTTCGAAGTAACAATAAGCCAAATGTTTCTAATGAACAGTAAATAAATTTAATTTCGGTACATCGCTTTTACAAATAGTATCTATTAAACACATCTTTTAATCGACGAAATGTAATAAAACATTTGAAATCTGTACATATTTATCCCATCAAATGACTTTTATAGTTTATTTAAAAAAAAAACAATTTATTTAATAATAATTAAATGTAATTTTATAAGTATTAAACATTTCGAGAAAATCAAATAACCAACTTTCTAACTTTTATATATCTACTATCAAAGCTCATCAAATGATCTTGTCGCGTTGTAAACACAAGTTAATTAATAGGAACCGTAATTTTAATCAAAGCTCTTTAGAAACCTTACATAAATAACTTTGAAAACTTGTCATAATAAATCTGTAAACGAAATAAATTCAAAATAATATTGAAATAATACTAATATTTCCGGATTTGCGACGCGATTTTAATTACTTTAACTAAAAACCTACTCCCGACGTTTCGGTTATTTTGCAGTGACCGTGATCACGGGCAAATTAGAGATCTTGTCTATAGGGAATATGTAGTTAAAATAATTAAAATCACGTACATACTTAATCCGAAAATATTAGTTGTACATCTAGGAATACTCGCGAGAGTCGCCGATCTCATTTTGTCAAAATTACATTTTATTTAATTAATATTAGTTAAAGGTACTTATATGTAGCTACGAGAATATAAAAAGGCAACCGTTTGGCATTCACGTTATTTATTAAGATAACAAATGTGTCAACGAAGTATTTGTGAAATAAAAAAATATCTTTCATCGCACAAATTCTTAGAATAACTTACCTTTCCGTTACAAAAAAAAAAAACTAACAAAAGCAAAACATTCAGTGTTATGTGACTTATAACAAAGTGTTGGCGACAAAGGACCAAAATCAGGACGGAAGTAGAAATAATAAATTTCCCTAATCATTATGCAGATACCGAGATATAGAATTTAATGTACCAAGTAATTTCATCCGAACCTTTTCAACGCAACTCTTCACGTTGACCTGGATAATAAAAATTCTTAAAATAGCTTTACATAAAACACATGTACATTTTCTTATTAAATATAAACAAACTATTCAACGTGGAGATAAATTTTAATGATGATATAACTTAAACACTTTTTGCTATTTCACAATCATCGTATGTATAAAACTGGGCTCGGATTATTTGGGAAATACAATGTTTTATGGGAATGGTAATGGGAATTTTACGTTTTGATACTGATTCATTTCTATTATACTTATTTTAGGTATCATTATTATATATACCGTATTCAAAGTTAGCTTACATAATATATATAAGTATACAATAAGATACAAATAAGTAATACGAACAAATATGGACACGGAACTTTGATCACGGAACAAGTGAACGAATAAGAATGGAAACAAAGAGTCCAATGCCGGAAGACGATAAATCAACGGAAGCGGCTCTCTTTGATATTAACCTCCATTGTTTTGTAACTATAACAACTATTATCACTTGACAATTTATATTTATCCATCACTAGCTTTCGCCGGCGGCGTGCTATATCTACCGCAGTTCATTGAAATAAGAAATATAAAGCAAAGAAAAAATTCTGGACTTGATTGCTACATTATAACCCTCATACAGACGGGTTTGATTGATTCACATGGATATTTGGCTTGAAAAAAAGACTACTATTCTATACAATACATTTCACCGTTTTCAAATGTTATACTTAAGTATTTTATGCCACGCCTATCTTACAATAGTATATTTTTTAATATAACCAACTTCGAGATTATCAAAATGTATGTTAAAAACATACAAATAATCGATGACACTTAACTCTATTCAGGGTTCTATTCCTATCGATTGCAATCCTAAGTTCGGACGAACGTATGGTAAGTAATTTATACGTGATATAGGACTCGAATTAAAACTTGCGGGTGTCACAAAAAAACACGAGAATTTAAGGAACAATTCATTCATCCACTAGCGGCAATTTCTAAAGGTGTTTACTTAAGGGACGTGACGTGATTTTTATTAGAGGGACTAGGATTCAAGTTATAAAAATTGTCTCACGCATCGAACGTCGTGCGAACAACTTGCATCAGATCGCTTGGTACATTATAAACATGGACAATTCCTAGTAACATATCCAATACAAATTAATCTACAAACGTTCATGATTGAAATTCAAAATGTAATTGCAATTTCATATTGAATTTGCTGGTGTTATTTCATTCCTAATAAAATCTGACTTAATTAATAATTAATATTCATAAATAAATCTAGTGAATAATGTAACAATAAACATGTTGAGATTCCGTCTGCTCTCAAGTAATATGTAATACATTATACACGAACAATGGGTAGTAATTTCTATTCAGCAATGTTAATTGCTACTTTCAATTAAATGTGTCCCTTCTAAAGCCAACAAATTGCTTTACAGTTAAATGTTACGCGTAGCCGGACATTGATAGAATAAATAATTATTTGCGAATTCTATGTGTTTACTACTTTCTTTGACAATGGATATGTCCGTGAGAGGAATGCGTAACTGTGGGTGTTAAAAAATGTGTTAAAAAATATATGAACTAGTGCTTCTGGAAAAATATATACGTATATACTTATATAGTAAAAAAATATATATGTATATATATAGTGGTATATAAAAAATGATACTACTTAAGAAAAAGTTGATGAAACGTTATAGTAATGTGGCTTAGACATCTGAATTACGAATGGACTGTAATTTATCCCGGAATTCCGTGTAGTTCCTGCGAGATTACAGTATAACAGTTGTAATATTTATAAAGTTACATAACATAGACTATAGATGTCGCTGATGATTGGTTACCAAATTATTTATAGTTTTAACAGACTTTAATTTCTCTTTAACACGCCTAAAAGATGGTAAATATTAATACGTAACATCATACGAAACTTAAATATGTTTTTTTTATAATATCCGAGTTATCAACATTCTAATGTTGTACTTAAGAGATTAAATGTATATCGATTGCTACCAATAAACATTAAATTTGACTGTAACATTAACATTTATGAAGTAAAAAAAATCTACGAACATATTGCATTTACCATTCAACTATTTCAAAATGTGCTATCGTAGCAGAGTGGCGCAGTGGAAGCGTGCTGGGCCCATAACCCAGAGGTCCGTGGATCGAAACCACGCTCTGCTAAAACACTTTTTTTATTGACAGAAGAAAATTATACTTATTGTTAGTTTCTGTTTTTTCTTCTTTTATTAAAAGTAATAACTCATTAATATAAATAATTTACCTGTCTTTTTTATAATTTAAAAAGCATTTAGCCAGCCATTTGACTGATGATGGTGACCGGCACTCCCTAGTTTATAACGTGAGGGTCTGTCCCTATCGGCTACCCAGGCTATAAAGAAGGGTAGGTAAATTATGATCGTGTGCATCGAAGGTGAAAATAACATGGTCCTACCTGCCCTCAATGAAAATCGAGAATTTTTATGACTTTCAATATATGTACATATAATATGCCTGAAATAAAAGACTAAGAATTTTATAATCCTAAAAATAACTAAATTTATTATGTTTGTTATCCAGATTTTTTAAAAATATACTACGTTCTTTATTGTACATATTATTTTACACTTTTACGTACGGAAGACGATATGAGAGAGTTTTATAAGTGGTTTAGTTAATCCATGAAGTTTGTCGTGCATTTTAAAGTTTAAACATTTAAATTTTATAACAAAATCTTTTGTTAGTTATATTATATTATTATATTATAATTCTAAATAAATATTATATCATATTTTAAACAGAGTTATTTGATATATTTTTTTATAAAAACTCATTTTTATCTCAATAGTAATCAATACTATTTGCGATCTTGTTACACATTTATATTTTTTATTCACACTATAGATACCTACATAAAACTATAATACAT